AAAAAAAACCTCCAAAAGAGGTCAAAGGAGAACAAAGTCTTGGTTCGGTTTGAGCCGATTTACATGTCATTAACATGCCATCAGGGTTTATTATGTGATATCCAGTGCACAAGGAAAACTCATGATGCACTCTAGAAGGCAATGTGATTTAGCTCCTAATTAATGCTTGCTAGGAGTTGCTGGGAGCTTTTGTCTGCTTTTGAAGATTTTTCTGAAGAAATAAAAACATAACTCAGCTTACTGGTGCAATGCTGCAAAAGGATATACAGATACGTTTTTTTTTTTGTTTTTTTTTTTTTTTTTTTGCAAGTGAAGAACAGGCTTCACTTATTTTTCAGGGCTATTGATTTGTACAGATCAACAAGACGTTGTTGAAACGTCACTTACCATTTTGAATTTATATTTATCTCCACCACTGGATTGGCAAGCCAGGATGACAAATTCAAAATAGCTGCTGACACCGAGAAAATCTACAATACGCTACAATGGATGGAATAAAGTCTTGGAGCATACTTTTCCTCCCTTGAATTCCCTTTAAATTTTAATTATTCATCCTAACAGAATGTTCTGGGCATCAGTGAGTTTGTGGAAGCCACTTTTCTGTTTCGGCATGGCTGTGCCCCATTGCATAAATCGAGGTCCATCAGTGGAAGCTTGAATGAGTTTAGTGCCGAAGAACTTGACCTAAATGCCATCAAACAACTTTAGGGTGAACTAGTAGAAGTAGTTACTCCAGGGTCAATATAAAGTATCATTGAAATCAGAGAGGGTCATACAAGGAAGATCAATTTGGACCCAACACTGTAAACATGGTCCCAGATGTGAGCAATAACCTATTCAGTGAGGCTCACTATCAGTGACTTTGATTCAACGAAAGCAACAAGAGCGGCAGTCTCGTCATCGAAATCAGATAGATCTCAGTTCTCCTGCTTGATCAGAAGGCAGGACACGTGGAGGATAAAAAGGCTGGGGCGTGAGTTCAGGAGCAGGTGTTAAGGAAGAGGGCTAAAGTGCATCAAGAGTGGCAGGTGAGGTGGACAAACTGTAACTTGATGAAAGGAGTGGCTTGGCGCTTTGCAGAGTGGAGTCGGAATTAAGGTTGATTTTTTTGTTGTTTTTTTTTTTTTTTATGTCCAGGTGTCATCCCTCAGTTCTGGTCCATGTCTTCAACAATGGGGGTGTTGTAGCTCTGGAACAGAGGCTGCATGAAGAGGCCCACAGTTCCCACCACACATACAAACACAAAGATCCACAGGAAGAGGCGGTCGATCACCATCTGGCATGGCTTGGGCTTGCATGGCTGCTTCTGGAACTGGCTCGCTAGTCTTTAGTGGTGATGTAACTCATGACGGCTGCAGTAGAATGAATTCTGAGGTCTACAAAACCATCTTGGCTGGCAATTTACAGAAAAGCGCATTCAAACTAATCGTGGGAAACTTCTTCAGGCAACAAGATAGAGGTGAGCAGAAGCATTTTGAACCAACTGGAGCTGTTTTGGAGCTGGAATTAATGTTATCCTCCATTCAAAATCAGTCCTGTCGTTGTCTCACATAGAACACCAGACAAAAATCTTTAGCTACACCTGGCCTGTCTCTTGAGTCAGAGGCCATTCAAAAATAGCTGAATTATTTCTGAGCTCCCAGATACAGTAATACTGTGGGTGACTAGCTAGGGTCTTTCCCAAAGTCAGCTACGGTGGGCTCCAGGTCACCTGTGACCCTAATAAAAAAAAAAGGTATATAAAATGGGTGGCTGAATACAAGTTAATAGTACAAGGTAGTTTGATGAAGATTGATGGAAAATTGAAATCCGAGGGCAAGAATCCGTCATGCCACTACACTAAGCCGTCAGCCGAGTTAAATGGTGTGATGCCTCTCTTCATATTGCTGAGTCAAGCAAAACAGAAGCGAATGAACAATTAATGTTTCGTCAGATCAGCGCGTTGCTTTCACTCTCCTTTATTGATCCAGTTACCTGACAGCGACTCATGTTTCTTCACATCCATCCACAAGACAAGATAAATGACTTAAAAACAAAAGATGCAGGACACCTTTTTTTTTTTTTTTTACGCACATTGGCCTTAGTGACAGATGTTATGACAGTAACTTATACTTGATAGAAATAATAAGTACTTGAATGCATCTCTGAAAACAGATAAGAATTTTAAACAGGAAAAACAAGAGAGAGGAACGGCTGTTTGGCTTCTTTGTTCCTGTCAGGATAGAATGTTCTTGCTGTAATTTCCTTGGTGGTGGTCATATAAAATTAATTCCTCACTAGTACCTTTTATAAGATAAAGGTCATCAATTTTGTGGTTTTACAGTCACACAAGCAGTCCCACAGCTTCTTGTTTCCCAGTCTGAGTCCACAAACCAGCATGTTTTGTTATGTGTGTGTGTGTGTGTGTGTGTGTGTGTGTGTGTGTGTGTGTGTGTGTGTGTGTGTGTGTGAGGGTGAAATGTTACAAACTGCTCTTCAGTGTTTGCGCTGCTCAGGAATATTAGGGCATGTGTGCTACTGGGAGAGGACACATGGAGGTGATGTTCTTCTGTGCATCCACATCATTGTTAGTTTCCTTATTGGCACAATGAGTTTGCTTTTTAAAGTCTTTCTCTGTTTGTTTGTTTTTTGTTTTTGTCTTTGGGCTCTTGGGAAAATAAATGAGGGTTTTGCTTCATGCATGAGGAGCCAGGAGAGTAGAAAAAAAACCTCCAAAAGAGGTCAAAGGAGAACAAAGTCTTGGTTCGGTTTGAGCCGATTTACATGTCATTAACATGCCATCAGGGTTTATTATGTGATATCCAGTGCACAAGGAAAACTCATGATGCACTCTAGAAGGCAATGTGATTTAGCTCCTAATTAATGCTTGCTAGGAGTTGCTGGGAGCTTTTGTCTGCTTTTGAAGATTTTTCTGAAGAAATAAAAACATAACTCAGCTTACTGGTGCAATGCTGCAAAAGGATATACAGATACGTTTTTTTTTGTTTTTTTTTTTTTTTTTGCAAGTGAAAAAAAGGCTTCCCTTTTTTTT